ACTCTGGGAGGCTGAGGCAGGAGAATCACTTGAACCCAGGAGATGGAGGTTGCAGTGAGCCAAGATCGTGCCATTGCACTCCAGCCTGGGCGACAGAGCAAGACTCCGTCTCAAAAAAACAAAAACAAACAAACAAAAAAAAAACACAGAAAAATTAACCAGGTGTGGTGGCAGGTGCCTATAACCCCAGCTACTGGGAGGCTGAGGCAGGAGAATCACTTGAACCCAGGAGGTGGAGGTTGCAGTGAGCCAACATCATCATGCCTTTGCACTCCAGCCGGGGCAACAGAGCAAGACTCCGTCTCAAAAAAAAAAAAAAAAAAAAAAAAAACACACACACACAAAAATACAAAAAAATTAGCCGGGCGTGGTGGCAGGTGCCTATAACCCCTCAAAAAAAAAAAGGTGGCAAAGCAATAGAGTCGCAGTGGGGGTTTGCTTTTCCCCCATTCGTGGTCCCCCCAGCCCTGCCTGCCTCGGACAGGTGCAGTCTTGGGGTCCAGCGGCTGCTCCATGCTGCCACCTGCTGGCGGGCGCCGGTTCACGCTCTTCCGGCAGGGCCCACCTGTTGCCATGGCAACAAGAGGGTTTGCCTGAAGACCTGGGCCGTCCAGTTCTCATCCATATCTACAAACAGCATTCCAGCCCAGGTGGGCTGCACGCATGAGCCTGCTCCACTTTAGGGGTGGCCACAACGCTTATAATGCTTTTTTAGAGGGTGAGGAATCGATATACACACACAGAGGGAGGCTCCTTGACTTCCAGTGGGGTGACCTCCCCACGAGTCCATCGTGGTCCCACCTACCCTAACTCAAAAATGCACTGAGTATCGTGATGCACGGACCGTAAAGCTGAAAAGGTGCAAATTCAACCATCGTAAGCTGGAAACCATCAGTATATATTCACGTCTACACACACTTTTTTAAAATTAATTTATTTATTTTGAGACGGAGTCTCGCTCTGTCCCCCAGGCTGGAGGGCACGGGAGCGACCTCGGCTCACTGCAACCTCCGCCTCCCGGGTTCAAGCCATTCTGCTGCCTCAGCCTCCTGAGTAGCTGGGACTACAGGCGCCCACCACCACGCCCGGCTAATTTTTTGTATTTTTAGTAGAGACAGGGTTTCACCGTGTTAGCCAGGATGGTCTTGATCTCCTGACCTCGTGATCCGCCCACCTCGGCCTCCCATAGTGCTGGGATTACAGACATGAGCCACGGCGCCCGACCTACACACGCTTTCATTATTAAAATATTGCAGGCTAGGTGCGATGGCTCACGCCTGTAATCCCAGCACTATGGGGTGCCGAGATGGGTGGATCACAAGATCAGCAGGTCCAGACCAGCGTGGCCAAGATGGTGAAACCCTGTCTGTACTAAACATACAAAAATTAGCTGAGTGTGGTGGCATGTACCTGTAATCCCAGCTACTCAGCAGGCAGAGGCAGTAGAATTACTTGAACCCAGGAGGCAGAGGTTGCAGTGAGCTGAGATCGTATCACTGCACTACACCCTGGGCGACAGAGTGAGACTCCATCTCAAAAAAAAATTTGCAGTTTAATATAGAATATACAAACGTATAAATACAGAGAGAACAATGGTTACCACCGAAATGCCCATCAAGGATAGATTGGAGAAAGAAAATGTGGTAGATATACACCATGGAATACTATGCAGCCATAAAAAGGAACAAGACCATATCCTTTGCTGGGGCGTGGATGGAGCTGGAAACCATTATCCTCAGCAAACTCATACAGGAACAGAAAACCAAACACCGCATGTTCTCACTCATAAGTGGGATTTGAACAATGAGAACACATGGACACAGGGAGGGGAACAACACACACTGGGGCCTTTTGCGGGCACAGGGGGCAGGAGAGCATCAGAAAAAAAAAAGAGCTAATGCATGCAAGCACTATGACACACCTTTACCCAGGTAACAAACGTGCACATCCTACACGTGCCCCCCACAACTTGAAATTAAAATTAAAATGAGAAAAATAATCATTGGACTAGACTTACAAAATGATTTTGGGGAGAAAAAAAGAGAAAGAAAGAACACTAGCTACCCATGGTTGGGGGTAGGTGAAATGGGGAGTTCTTCCTTAAGGGCTATGAGTTTCTGGCTGGGGTGATGAAGAAAAGTTGAGACAGTTGTAGAACATTATGAATGTATTTCGATGCCGCCATAGAAAAGGATGAGTTCATGACCTTTGCAGGGACATGGATGAAGCTGGAAACCATCATCCTCAGCAAACAAACACAGGAACAGAAAACCACACACCACATGTTCTCACTCATAAGTGGGAGTTGAACAATGAGAACACATGGACACAGGGAGGGGAACATCACACACCGGGGCCTGTCAGAGGGTAGGGGGCTAGGGGAGGGAGAGCATTAGGAGAAATACCTAATGCATGCAGGGCTTAAAACCTAGATGACACGTTGACAGGTGCAGCAAACCATATGGCACATGTAAACCTATGTAACAAACCTGCACATTCTGCAAATGTATCCCAGGACTTAAAGTAAAATAAATAATATAAAATAAACATTATGAATGTATTTAATGCCACGGAACTGTATGCTTAAAAATGGTCAAAATGGCAAACACTATGTTACGTCTACGTTACCACCATAAACATATAAGAATTGATTGCAATTTCTTCCTTAAGGCTAGAACAAAACCAATCCAATTGTCAGAAATCAAAGATAAAAACAACCTGCCCTAATTGCTAATGTAATATGAGAGTGTAAAGGAAAAAAATGCTGGCTCGTTGAAGTGGTATAATATGCCAGTATGGACACCTTTGTCCTGCCTCTCACTGTGATACTCGGTGTCAGAAAAGAATTCAAGCCCAACCAACCAAAGCGAAACTTTACACTGGGGAGTCTTTGGAAGGATTAAAAAAAAAATCCCGAAAAGATGCATCGACACAACTTTACTGCAAGGCCGGGCACGGTGGATCACACCTGTAATCCCAGCACTTTGGGAGGCCGAGGAAGGCAAATCACGAGGTCAGGAGTTCGAGACCAGCCTGGCCAATATGGTGAAATCTCCTTCTCTACTAAACATAATAAAATTAGCTGGGCATGCTGGCATGCCTGTCATCCCAGCTACTCGGGAGACTGAGGCAGGAGAATCGTTTGAACCTGGAAGGCAGAGGATACAGTGAGCCAAGATAGCATCACTGCACTCCAGCCTGGGTGACAGAGTGAGACTCTGTCTCAAAAAAAAAAACCACAAAAAACAACGACAACAACAAAAACTTGACTGCAATAGAAGGAAACCTGTGAGCCTCCTGTAGGTGCTATCACTCATATGTATCACTTCACAAATGGCCATTTTGAGGGAGCCCCAAAGACAGCAATTACTCTAAAATTATACAGTTGATCAACCAAAGGTCAATCATAGTAGTGGTCAGCAATGCTGAAAAAATTGTGGCGTTTTTTGTTTTGTATTGTTTTGTTTTGTTTTTGAGATGGAGTTTCACTCCTGTTGCCCAGGCTGGAGTGCAATGGCACAATCTCGGCTCACTGCAACCTCCACCTCCCGGGTTCAAGTGATTCTCCTGCCTCAGCCTCCCAAGTAGCTGGAATTACAGGCGTACCCCACCACACCCGACTACTTTTTTGTATTTTTAGTAGAGACGGGTTTCTCCATGTTGGTCAGGCTGGTCTTGACCTGCTAACCTCAGGTGATCCACCTACCTCGGCCTCCCAAAGTGCTGGGATTATAGGCGTGAACCACCACGCCTGGCCGTCTCTTTTTTTTTTTATAAGCACATCAGTCATATTGGATTTAGAACTCACCCTAATGATCTCATCTTAACTTGATTTCATCAGCAAAGATCTTACTTCTTTTTTTTTTTTTTTTTTTTTTGAGACAGAGTTTCACTCTTGTTGCCCAGGCTAGCGTGCAGTGGTGCAATCTCGGCTCACCGCAACCACCGCCTCCCAGGTTCAAGTGATTCTCCTGCCTCAGCCTCCCTAGTAGGTGGGATTACAGGCATGTGCCACCATGCCCAGCTAATTTTGTATTTTTAGTAGAGACAGAGTTTCTCCATGTTGATCAGGCTGGTCTCAAACTCCCAACCTCAGGTGATCTGCCTGCCTCGGCCTCCCAAAGTGCTGGGATTACAGGCATGAGCCACCGTGCCCGGCCGATCTTACTTCTAAATAAGATCCCATTCACAGGTTCCAGGAGCCACAGCCTGGACAGATCTTTTGGGGGACAGAACTCAACCCACAACAACTTGCTTTGACGATTATTTCATTTGTTTTGTGTTCTCATCTTTTTAGTTGAAAAAAAAAAATAGTGTTTAGACTGAGAGTAAAGAAAGTATCAAAATCATCTAAAACGTACACTAGAGGAAAACAAGAAGTAGAAAACCTTGTTGACATCATGGGAGAGGCCCAGGGAGAGATGGGTACGAGATTGTTAGGAGGGAAATCTTTTCCTCCTCGGTAGCATCTTCTGCTGATTTTTCTGTATCCACAGATGGGGCGTGATCTAATCTGACGGCAAATGCCTGTGTTCTCATGGCGGCTACAAGAAAAGATTTGAGTACAGATCCATACAGGAGAGACAGACAGGACTGTCTGAGGCAGAAAGAGAGACAGACAGAAAGCCTGTCTGTGTTGAACAATTCTCACTGTTGAAATGGTATCATTAATACGTCACAGAGCTGTGCAAGGCAGCCTGAAAGGAGAACCTCATATTTCATAGACACCCATTGTTGCTACATCCATCATTTGTGCCAAAGTTCTGTTCAGGATGAAGCTTCTAACAGACACCCCTCAAGGTGAACACTGCAGCCCCACCTTAAAGCAGGAAGAGGACCCAAACATTGCCTACAGTCAATGTCAAAGCTGAGCTCTCCCACCCCCATCAGTGTGGTCCTCAGTAAAGCCCGGGAAACAATCTACAAAGTAGAGGCAGTCCAACCCTGTCCATAGAAACCTCCAGTCACTTATCGTGTGAACACCAAGAACAAGAAGCCACTGGAGATACATCTCTTTATTATTATGTCTTGCGTGCTTTGACAGTAGTTCCAGATCACAAGAAAAAGTTATTTCCTGACTAAAATGGCATCATAAATGGCTCCTGTTTTCTTAAACTGGAAGTCTCTGAAGCCAGCAGAGGAGAGGAGCATGTGGTAGTGGGTGGGGGTCCTCTCCTGCCCTTCCGTCTGCACAAGCATGTTCAGAGAGTAGAGCTGCGTGAGCAGAGGACCCCGCCTGTCTTCATCCAGGAGGCTTTCAATTACCAGAAGGCCACCACCTAGAAAGGGAGGGGCACAGTCCACATCACACACACAGACTGTGCCAAAGTCCCAGTGAACCATAAGGACAGCGAGACCTCAGAGGACAGTCGGGGCACTGTCTCCATCACACACCCAGAGGCTGTGCCCACGTCTTTATGGAATATCACAGAATAGATGGACCTCACAGAACAGACAGCAGGGACACTGTCCCCTTCACACACACACAGAGGCTGTGCCCACATCCTCATGAACCATCAGATGGGTGGACCTCACAGGAGAACTGGGACACTGTCTCCAACACAGACACAGAGGCTGTACTCACATCCTCATGAACCATCAGGATGAGTGGACCTCACAGGAGAACTGGGACACTGTCCCTAAGTCTCCAACACAGACACAGAGGCTGTACTCACATCCTCATGAACCATCAGGATGAGTGGACTCACAGGAGAACTGGGACACTGTCCTTAACACACACACAGAGGCTGTGCCTAAGGCCTCGCTGGACCATCAGGATGAGTGGACTACAGGAGAATCCGGGACACTGTCCCCTTCACACACAGAGGCTGTGCCCACATTCTCATGGATCATCAGGATGAGTGGACCTCACAGGAGAACTGGGACACTGTCCCTAACACACACACACAGAGGCTGTGCCCACATTCTCATGGACCATCAGGATGGGTGGACCTCACAGGAGAACTGCACACTGTCCCCAACACACACACACAGAGGCTGTGCCCATGACTTTGTGTGGACCATCAGGATGAGTGGACTCACAGGAGAACTGGGACACTGTCCCCTCTACACAGAGGCTGTGCCCAGATTCTCATGGATCATCAGGATGAGTGGACTACAGGAGAACTGGGACACTGTCCCTAACACACACACACAGAGGCTGTGCCTACATTCTCATGGATCACCAGGATGGGTGTGGACTCCTCACAGGAGAACTGGGACACTGTCCCTAACACACACACAGAGGCTGAAATGCACATTCTCATGGACCATCAGGATGGGTGGACTCACAGAGAACTGGGACACTGTCCCCTCACACAGAGAGGCTATGCCCACGTCCTGACCATCAGGATGGGTGAACCTCTACAGGAGAACTGGACACTGTCCCCATCTCACACACAGAGGGTGTGCCCACATCCTCATGGACCATCAGGATGAGTGGACTACAGGAGACAAGACACTGTCCTTCTACACACAGAGGCTGTGCCCACATTCTCATGGATCATCAGGATGGGTGGACCTCACAGGAGAACTGGGACACTGTCCCTAACACACACACACAGAGGCTGTGCCCACATTCTCATGAACATCAGGATGGGTGGACTCTTACAGGAGAACTGGGACACCGTCCTCACACACACAGAGGCTATGCCCACGTCCTCGCGGACCATCAGATGGGTGAACTCCTCAGGAGAACTGGGACACTGTCCCCATCTCACACATAGGGTGTGTCCACGTCCTCATGAATCATCAGGATGAGTGGACCTCACAGGAGAGCTAGGACACTGTCCCCTTCACACACACAGCTGTGCCTTCCACATCTTCATGAACCATCAGGATGGGTGGACCTCACAGGAGAGCTGGGACACTGTCCCTAACACACACACACAGAGGCTGTGCCCACATTCTCATGAACCATCAGGATGAGTGGACTCCTTACAGGAGAACTGGGACACTGTCCCCTTCACACACAGAGGCTGTGCCCACATTCTCATGGATCATCAGGATGGGTAGACCTCACAGGAGAACTGGGACACTGTCCCTACCACACACACACACAGAGGCGGTGCCCACATTCTCAAGTGGACCATCGTGGATGGGTGGACTCTACAGGAGAACTGGGACACTGTCCCTAACACACACACAGAGGCTGTGCTCCACATTCTCATGGACCATCAGGATGGGTGGACCTCATAGAGAACTGGGACACTGTCTCCCCTTCACACACACAGAGGCTATGCCCATCAGTCCTCATGGACCATCAGGATGGGTGAACCTCACAGGAGAACTGGGACACTGTCCCCATCTCACACACAGAGGGTGTGCCCACATCCTCATGGACCATCAGGATGAGTGGACCTCACAGGAGAGCTGGGACACTGTCCCCATCTCACACATAGGGTGTGTCCACGTCCTCATGAATCATCAGGATGAGTGGACCTCACAGGAGAGCTAGGACACTGTCCCCTTCACACACACACAGGCTGTGCCCACATCTTCATGAACCATCAGGATGGGTGGACCTCACAGGAGAGCTGGGACACTGTCTCCAACACACACACAGAGGCTGTGCCCACGTCCTCGTGGACCATCAGGATGGGTGGACCTCAGAAGTCAGTGAGGCACTGTACTCATGACACACACAAATACTAGCCTAATTCTGAAACAGTTTCACCAAAGTGAGGCCACTGAAGTTTCAGAGGACCTTTCACTTTTTCCATCTTTATGTGGTTTTATCAATAGAAGAGAAATTAGGACCCTATTTCTTGTAGGTAGTTATCTAAAAGGAAAGCCATTTGGCAGGATGTCTACACTTACCTGTGGGATGATTTCAGTGCCTGCCTTCTAAATGTGACTCGTGTAGTTCTGCCCTGAGTCACAAGCACAGCTGAAATGCAAACCCCACAGCTTACCTGGCTTGCAAGTATGGTAGACCCTCTCCAGCAGGTGTGAGCACTTTCCATCTGCCCAGTCATGGAGGATCCTGGCCAGGATGTACAGATCTGCTTCCGGAAGAGGGTCTTTAAAGAAATCCCCTGGAACACAGGGCAATAGGACAGGCACCCTGAGGTCAGCCTGCCATCCGATCCCATTTGACTAAACCTATTTCAGGTACAAAAGGTCACCGGGATGGGTCATACCTTTCCCAGGTCTTCCAGGCTAGTGACCTGCAGATCTAGCCTTGAAAACCAAAAAGGCTCAGGAGAAAGATAAGAAAATACTGAATGATATGTGTCTCCAACACACACACAGAGAGGCTGTGTCCACATCCTCATGGACCATCAGGATGGGTGGACCTCACAGGAGAGCTGGGACACTGTCCCCTTCACACACACAGGCTGTGTCCACGTCCTCATGGACCATCAGGATGGGTGGACCTCACTCTACGGGAGGCTCAGAGCACTGTCCCTTCACACACAGAGGCCTCACAGAACTGGGACACTGTCTCCTTCACACACACAGAGGCTGTGTGCCCATGTCCTCATCAGACCATCCAGTGGTGGGCCTCACAGTTTTCAACACAGAGGCTGTCACGTCCTCATGGACCCAGAATGGGTGGACCTGTCTCCTTCTCTTTGAAAATCATGTAATGATTTCTTTTTATTTGTTTGAGATGGGTTGGGCGGTTTGCCTGGGGTCTCATGGTAAATGGAACTCTTTGAGTGCAGGCTTCCAGATTCCAATCTGCGTGCTTCCCCGGTAAACCCTTTCATAAAATTTGTCACAACGGTTGCCCTTTTTGACGGACAAACGCGTTTTCTCTCAGACCCTGTCGGCCCAGCTGTAGTCTTGCTGCAAATGTACTCGTTTTACATTTTATTTTGAGATAAAGTCTATGGACCATCAGGATGGGTGGACCTCACAGGAGAACTGGGACACTGTCTCCTTCACACACACAGAGGCTGTGCCCATGTCCTCATCGACCATCAGGATGGGTGGGCCTCACAGGAGAACTGGGACACTGTCGCCTTCACACACACAGAGGCTGTGTCCACGTCCTCATGGACCATCAGAATGGGTGGACCTGTCTCCTTCTCCTTTAGAAAATCATGTAATGATTTCTTTTTTGTTTTGTTGTTTTGTTTGAGATGGAGTTAGGCAGTTTGCCTGGGGTCTCATGGTAAATGGAACTCAGGTGCAGGCTTCCAGATTCCAACCCTGCGTGCTTCCCAGTAAACCATAAGGTATCCTAACAGTTGTTCGGGTTGCAAAACCATGAACAAAAAACACATTTTCTCTCAGGTCCTATCCAACCAACAAGTCTTGCTACAAACTCTTTCATTTTTTACATTTTTTTATTTTTGAGATAAAGTCTCGCTCTGTCGCCCAGGCTGGAGTGCAGTGGCACGATCATGACTCACTGCAGCCTCCACCTGCCACGCTCAGGCGATCCTCCCACTTCAACCTCCACAAAGCTGGGGCCACAGGTGTGCACGGCTACACCTGGCTAATTTTGTTGTTGTTTTTTTTTTTGTAGAGACAGGGTCTCACCATGTTACCCAGGCTGACGGTAAAACTTCTAGACTCAAGTGATCCACCCACCTCAGCCTTCCAAACTGCTGGGATGACAAGCAGGAGTCACTGCCCTGGGCCTTACCTCTTTTTTTTTTTTGAGACGGAGTCTCGCTCTGTCGCCCAGGCTTGAGTGCCGTGGCCGGATCTCAGCTCACTGCAAGCTCCGCCTCCCGGGTTCACGCCATTCTCCTGCCTCAGCCTCCCGAGTAGCTGGGACTACAGGCACCTGCCACCACGCCAGGCTAATTTTTTGTATTTTTAGTAGAGACGGGGTTTCACCGTGTTAGCCAGGATGGTCTCGATCTCCTGACCTCGTGATCCGCCCGTCTTGGCCTCCCAAAGTGCTGGGATGACAGGTGTGAGCCACCACACCAGGCCTGGACCTTAACAATCTGAGAAAGTAGCATGAAAACAGGACAATAGACGCCGTAATAGGAAATCTTAAAGCCTTCTTCATCCAACTCAGGACCTTGGCATGCGCTGATTGCTCCTAAAACAAGGCTTTTTTTTTTTTTAAGATGTCCTGGATCTTGGCTCACTGCAACCTCCACCTCCCAGTTCAAGCGATTCTCCTACCTCAGCCTCAAGTAGCTAGGACTACAGGTGCACACCACCCTATCCAGCTAATTTTTGTAGTTTTAGTAGAGACAGGGTTCCACTGTGTCAGCCCGGATGGTCTCGATCTCTTGACCTTGTGATCCGCTCGCCTCGGCCTCCCAAAGTGCTGGGATGACAGGCGTGAGCCACCGCGCCCGGCCAGCATGCTGTTTCTTTCACATAACCCAGGTTCTTCTCATCCTTCAGGTCTCATCTCAGCCTCTCGTGACCAAGCTAGTTCCATTTGGTGTTTTCTCCATGGAATACAACTCAGTCATAAAACAGAAAGAAATAATGCCTTCGCAGCAACTTGGAGGGAGCTGGAGGCCATTGTTTTACATGAAGGAACTCAGGAATGAAAAAAAAACACTGGATGTTTTCACTTACAAGTGGGAGCTAAGATACGAAGATGCAAAGACGTATGAATGAGACAAAGAATTTTGGGGACTCAGGGTGAAATGTGGGAGGTGAGTGAGGGATAAAAGACTCTCAAAAAAAAAAAAAAAGAAAGAAAGAAAGAAAAAGAAAGATCGGGCACGGTGGCTCACGCCTGTAATCCCAGCAGTTTGGGTGGCCGAGGCGGGCAGATCGCCCGAGGTCAGGAGTTTGAGACCAGCCTGTCCAACACGATGAAACCCCATCTCTACTAAAAAGTACAAAAATTAGTCAGGCGTGGTAGCGGGCACCGTCATCCCAGCTACTCAGGAGGCTGAGGCAGGAGAACTGCTTGAACTGGGGAGGTGGTGGGTGGAGAGAGCCGAGATAGTGCCACTATACCCCAGCCTGGGTGACAGATGCAAACTTTGTCTCAAAAATAAATAAATAAAATAAAATAATTTTTTAAAAAAAGTACATATTGAGTACAGTGCACATGGCTTGGGGGATGGGTGTAACAAAATCTCAGAATTCACCACTAAAAAACTCACCCGGTTGGGCGCGGTGGCTCACACCTGCCATCCCAGCACTTTGGGAGGCCGAGGTGGGCGGATCACCTGAGGTTGGGAGTTCAAGACCAGCCTGGCCAACACGGTGAAGCCCTATTTCTACTAAAAATACAAAACTAGCCGGGTGTGGTAGTGGACGCCTGTAATCCCAGGTACTCGGGAGGCTAAGCCGGAAAATCACTTGAACCCGGGAGGTGGAGGTTGCAGTGAGCCGAGATTGCACCACTGCACTCCAGCCTGTAATCCCAGCACTTCGGGAGGCCGAGGTGGGCAGATCACCTGAGGTCGGGAGTTCGAGACCAGCCTGGCCAACATGGAGAAACTCTGTCTCTACTAAAAGTTCAAAAATTAGCCGGGTGTGGTGGCAGGTGCCTGTGATCCCAGCTACTCGGGAGGCTGAGGCAGGAGAATCGCTTGAACCCAGGAGGTGGAGGTTGCAGTGAGCGGAGATTGTACCACTGCACTCCAGCCTGAGTGACAGAGCAAGACTCTGTATCAAATAATAATAATAATAATAATAATAATAATAATAATAATAATAATTGTAAGAAAGCTGTATACCTACACACAGCTTTCCATCCATCATGAGTAACACACAGTGTGGAGTTGAGGGTGTTGTTGGGAGCAAGAAGAAAACCACATGATAGGCTGGGCGCGGTGGCTCATGCCTGTCATCCCAGCACTTTGGGAGGCCGAGGCAGGCGGATCACAAGGTCAGGAGATCGAGAGCATCCTGGCTAACACGGTGAAACTCCGTCTCTACTAAAAAATACAAAAAACTAGCCAGGCGTGGTGGCGGCGCCTGTAGTCCCAGCTACTCAGGAGGCTGAGGCAGGAGAATCGCTTGAATCTGGGAGATGGAGGTTGCAGTGAGCCGAGATCGCACCACTGCACTCCAGCCTGGGTGACAGAGTGAGACTCCGTTTCAAAAAAAATAAAATAAAAAAATTAGCTGGACACGATGGCAGGTGCCTGTAATCCCAGCTACTCGGGAGACTGAGGCAGGAGAATCACTTGAACTCGGGAAGCAGAAGTTGCAGTGAGCCGAGATTGTGCCACTGTACTCCAGCCTGGGCAACAGAGCAAGACTCCGTCTCAAAAAAAAAAAAAAAAAAACCCACATGACGTCTTAATCATCTCCCAGAAGCATCCAGCCACACCCCCCACTCGGAGAAACCATGAGACACGTCTCTGCTTCCCCGACAGACACAGACACACCTTCCTGGAACTGAATGTCTTGTTCCTCCGGGAATGAGAAGTGCTGCTTTGCCGTCCGCACCACTTCTGGGATGTCGAAAACGGTGACCTTACATCCAGGATACAGAGACAGGCACTCCTTCGCCAGAGCTCCAGGGCCACCTGGAAGAGGACAAAGCGTGTCTGGCCCCAGAGATGAACCAGGGAGACGTCACTCGCCCTCCACGCACCGTGGACCCATGAAGGGTCTAACCCAGGAACCTGGGACCTTCCACCGTGTCTGGTCTTTTTTCTTTTTTTTCTTTCCTTCCTTCCTTCCTTCTTTCTTTTTCCTTCCTTCCTTCCTTCCTTCCTTCCTTCCTTCTTTCCTTTTCCTTCCTTCCTTCCTTCCTTTTTTTCCTTTTCCTTCCTTCCTTCCTTCCTTCCTTCCTTCCTTCCTTCCTTCCTTCCTTCCTTCCTTCCTTCTTTCCTTTACTTCCTTCCTTCCTTCCTTCCTTCCTTCCTTCCTTCCTTCCTTCCTTTTTTATTATACTTTAAGTTCTAGGTACAGGTGCAGAACATGCAGAGTTCCCTCATTGGTATCCATCTACCATGTTGGTTTTGCTACCACCATTGCCTCGTCATTTACATTGGGTATATCTCTAATGCTCTCCCTCTCCCAGCCCCCCACCCCTGTCAGGTGATCTTATTTCTCACCTGTGTGTCCATGTGTTCTCCTTGTCCAAGTCCCACTAGGGTGAGGCTACGATTGTTAGTTTTTCTGTCTTTGTGATGGTTTGCTTAGAGGATGGTTTCCAGCTTCATCATGTCCCCTCTGTAGAAGGACACGAACTTATCTTTTTTTTTTTGAGACAGAGTGCCCAGCCTGCCACAGGCTGGAGTACAGTGGTGCGATCTTGCGCTCACTGAAAGCTCTGCCTCCTGGGTTCACGTCATTTCTCCTGCCTCAGTTCCTTCCTTCCTTCCTTCCTTCCTTCCTTTTTTTATTATACTTTAAGTTCTAGGGTACAGGTGCAGAACATGCAGGGTTTCCTACGTAGGTATCCATATGCCATGTTGGTTTGCTACACCCATTGCCTCGTCATTTACATTGGGTATATCTCCTAATGCTCTCCCTCTCCCAGCCCCCCACCCCCTGTCAGGCCCTGATGTGTGATGTTCTCCACCCTGTGTGTCCATGTGTTCTCCTTGTCCAAGTCCCACCTAGGAGTGAGAACACACGGTGTTTGGTTTTCTGTCTTTGTGATGGTTTGCTTAGAAGGATGGTTTCCAGCTTCATCCATGTCCCTGCGAAGGACACGAACTTATCCTTTTTTTTTTTGAGACAGAGTCTTGCTCTGTCCCCCAGGCTGGAGTACAGTGGTGCGATCTTGGCTCACTGAAAGCTCTGCCTCCTGGGTTCACGTCATTCTCCTGCCTCAGCCTCCGGAGTAGCTGGGGCTACAGGCGCCCGCCACCATGCCTGGCTAATTTTGGTTTTTTGTTTTTTGTTTTTTGTATTTTTAGTAGAGACAGGGTTTCACCGTGTTAGCCAGGATCGTCTTGATCTCCTGACCACATCGTGATCCGCCCGCCTCAGCCTCCCAAAGTGCTGGGATGACAGGCGTGAGCCACCGCGCCCGGCCGAACTCATCCTTTTTTATCTGCCATGTCTGATCTCGACGGTGATGTGATTGTCTACGGGCCCCCGAGTTCAGGTGGTCTTCCAGGCTGGGCTAACCCAAACTCCAAGCTTCCACACGGCCACTGACCGAACCGTGTGCTCTCCAAGCCTGCGCACCTGTCCAGCCAAGGGCGGACAACAGCTAAGAGAAGGACGCGATAGCAAGCCCCGGGCAGAAGATCCAGCCAGCCGTGCACACAAAGTCCATCGTGGGCCCCAGAGACCTCCAGCCCCGTGCTCCTTGTCCATTATTTCCGTAGAAAGTCTGTGTTATTATTAATTATTTATTTATTTATTTATTTTGAAACAGACTCTCGCTCCGTCGCCCAGGCTGCAGTGCAGTGGCGTGATCTCCTCTCACTGTGACCTCCGCCTCCCAGGTACAAGCGATTCTCCTGCCTCAGACTCCTGAGTACCTGGGATGACACGCACCCGCCACCACACCTGGCTGCTTTTTTGGATTTTTTAGTAGAGACCGGGTTTCACCATGTTGGTCAGGCTGGTCTCGAACTCCCGACCTTGGGATCCACCCGCCTCGGCCTCTCAAAGTTCTGGGATGACAGGCGTGAGCCACCGTGCCCGGTCGACTTGTTCATTATTTTCTTCCCAAGCTGCTGCCCAGGCAGGGGGATCCTGAACTCTATGTATCCCTGCTGACAGTGACTAAAAGTAATAAATCAGAGAAGGCTATCCACTCTGCAAAGAGCTTTCTGCCAGCCAGGAGCTCTTCTGAGTGATCCACTGAGTCACAGAAGGGAGACAGGCTGGGTGGATCACGGCCTGGAGTATGAGAGCCCTACGGGGTGCAGGAGGTGCTTAAGGGGTGAGCTCGAGGTTGGTGGGTTTGTATTTGAAAAGCAAGCTCAGGGCCAGGTACGGTGGATGAGCTGAGCCCAGGAGTCTGAGACCAGTCTCTACAAAAAGTTTTAAAATGGCCGGTGGCGGTGGCTCAAGCCTGTAATCCCAGCACTTTGGGAGGCCGAGGCGGGCTGATCACGAGGTCAGGAGATCGAGACCATCCTGGCTAACATGGTGAAACCCCGTCTCTACTAAAAATACAAAAAATTAGCCGGGCGAGGTGGCGGGTACCTGTAGTCCCAGCTACTCGGGAGGCTGAGGCAGGAGAATCGCTTGAACCCGGGAGGCGGACATTGCAGTGAGCCGAGATTGTGCCACTGTACTCCAGCCTGGGCGACAGAACGAGACTGTGGAAAAAAAAAACAAAAAACAAGGAAGCTCAGCCTGGGTGTGGTGGCTCACGCCTGTAATCCCAGCACTTTTGGAGGCTGAGGCAGGAGGATTGCATGAGCCCAGGAGTCTGAGACCAGCCAGGGCCACATAGAGAGACTCAGTCTCTACAAAATAAGTTAGGTGTGGCGGCATGCATCTGTAGTTCCAGCTACTCGGGAGGCTAAGGTGGGAGGATCACTTGAGCCTGGGAGTCTGAGGCTGCAGTGAGCCATTATCACAGCACTGCACTCCAGCCTGCGAGACGAGCAGAACCCTATCTCAAAAAATAAAAACAAGACCGAGGCAGGCGGGTCCCTCGAGGTCAGTAGTTCGACAGCAGCCTGGCCAACATGGCAAAACTCCGTGTCTATCAAAAAATACAAAAATTAGCCTGCCGTGGTGATGCGCACCTGTAATCCTAGCTACTCAGGAGGCTGAGGCAGGAGAATCGCTTGAACCCGGGAGGTGGAGGTTGCAGTGAGCCGAGACCACACCACTGCACTCCAGCCTGGGCGATAGAGCAAGATTACATCTAAAAAATAAAATAAAATATAGGGGTCAGGCATGGTTGCTCACGCCTGTCATCCCAGCACTTTGGGAGGCCAAGGCGGGTGGATCACGAGGTCAAGAGATAGAGACCAGCCCAGCCAACATGGCAAAACCCCGTCTCTATTAAAAAATTCAAAAATTAGCCTGGCATAGTGGCGCGCACCTGTAATCCCAGCTACTTGGGAGGCTGGGGCGGGAGAATTGCTTGACCTGGGAGGTGGAGGTTGCAACGAACCGAGATCACACCACTGTACTCCAGCCTGGGCAATAGAGCAAGATTACATCTTTAAAAAAAATTAAAATAGAAATAAAAGAAAAGCGTGCTTTCAGAGGAGATGTTTGCTGACTCTAGGAAGTGCCCAGTGCTGGGAGGAATGATTCCTCCAAGACCAGAGATCTCGTACATGTCAAAGCATCAGAATGCAAAAAATAAAAGACCTTGTTAGGCCAGGCGCGGTGGCTCACACCTGTCATCCCAGCACTTTGGGAGGCCGAGGCGGGCAGATCACGAGGTCAAGAGATCGAGACCAACATGGTGAAACCCTGTCTCTACTAAAAATACAAAAAATTAGCCAGGTGTGGCAGCTTGCACCTGTCGTTCCAGCTACTCTGGAGGCTGAGGCAGGAGAATCGCTTGAACCCGGGGAGCGGAGGTTGCAGTGAGCTGAGATCGTCCCACTGCACTCCAGCCTGGGCGACAGAGGGAGACTCCATCTCAAAAAAAATAAAATAAAAAACATTGCTTACACGCTCCCTACAGAGATCAGGAGACACAGCTCTGAGGTTTTGGGGGTTGGGGGGGTACCTACCACCGAGGTCGCACATAAGTGGGAACCCCGAAAGGTCAAAGGCAGTGAGCACGCTTCTCCCGTTGACGCTCCAGACCTCCTGCAGAGCTTGCATGAACTGCAGCCGCTCGCCCTCAGACCTGGCGTGCAAAACCACGCTCGTGACAACGGTGAAGATCCGGGCAGGCGTCCACAGCAAAGGTGTACATAACCCCCTGCTGAGAACAGAGCCGTACCCCACAGGTGCACCTGAGAGCTTCGCATGTGTGAAATGGAGCACGGAGTCATTTGGGATGGGGGAACCGGAGGTCGGCCACCAAAGGGTACCCAGCTCTGGGAAACCCAGGGTCGAGTCAGAACGGATCATTGTTCTCTGGATGGGAAGGGATTTCCCCGCTCAATGGGAAGGGATTTCTATCCGAAGAGGAGTTTATTGTTTTCTAAGAGGAAAGTCGATAATACGTCCCCCCACCCACAGAGCTCAGCTCCAGAGGACAAATCCAGGAAGGGTGGGGGGGGGGTCCACATATCCTGGGGCAGGGGCCCCAGAAGGTGGGAATTCAGGTGGTGGGGGAAGAGGCTAGAGAAAAGGCAGGAACTAGTAAGGGAGGGAGGTGAGATGGAGCCAAGAAGGACAGGTGGACACGGAGGCAGACAGAGCTCATGTGTTGCAAGCTCCCTCTCTCCTCCTGTCCTCTCGGCAGAGCCTGCTGTGGGGGTTTGCCTCAGAGTAATGAGGGCTGAAAAACTGCCTCTTAGGTACCGGGGTCACTACTCAGGTGATGGGCACACTAAAAGTCCAGGCTCCACACTGCAACATGTAAGCATGGAAGAGACGGGGACTTGCGCCCACTAAACAGATACATATATACACATATACGTACACATGTATACATATATTCACATATATATGAAGAAAGGAAGGAAGAAGGAGAAAAAGAAAAAAGGAAAGAAGAAAGGAAACGAGAGAAAGAAAGAAAAAGAAAGAAAGAGAGAAAGAAAGAAAGAGAAAAGAAAAAAGAAAGGAAAGGAGGAAGGAAGGAAGGAAGGAAGGAAGGAAGGAAGGAAGGAAGGAAGGAAGGAAGGAAGTAGGCACCTGTCATCCTAACTACTCTGTAGGCTGAGGCAGGAATACTTGAACTCAGGAGGCGGAGGATGCAGAGCCAAGATCGCAAGCATTGCACTCTTACCAAGCGATGGGAGCAAGACTCATTCTAAAAACAAACAAAAACAAAAAAAATTAGCCGGCATGGTGGCAGCAGTGTCTATGTAACCCAGAACTCTGGGAGACAGGCAGGAGAATCACTTGAACCAGGAGATGGAGGTTGCAGTGAGCCAAGATCGTGCCATTGCACTCCAGCCTGGGCCACAGAGCAAGACTCCATCTCACAAAAACAAAAAATATGAAAAAAAATTAGCCGGGCGCGAGTGGCAGGTGCCTATAACCCCAGCTACTGGGAGGCTGAGGCAGGAGAATCACTTGAACCAGGAGGTGGAGGTGTTGCAGTGAGCCAAGATCAGCGCCAGCTGTACTCCAGCCGGGTTTAGCAGAGCAAGACTCTGCCTCAAAAAAAAAAAAAAAAAAAACCAGAAAAATTAACCAGGCGTGGTGGTAGGCGCCAGCCTATAGCCCCAGCTACTGGGAGGCTGAGGCAGGAGAATCACTTGAACCCAGGAGGTGAGGCCAGGAGCGCAAGATCACACGCCGTGTGACCCACCTGCCACACAGAGCAAGACTCCGCCTCAAAAAAAAAAAAAAAAAAAATCAGTTGGGTGTGGCAGGTGTCATGTCTCTCAAAAAAAAGGTGTGCTGCGAGTCGCAGGGGGTTTGCTTTTTCCCCATTCGTGGTTCCCAGCCTGTCCGTGCCCTGGACAGTGCAGGCGTCCGGTCCAGCGGCTGCTCCATGCCGCTACCTGCCGGCGGGCGCGGTCTACGCTCTTCCGGCAGGGAACACCCGTTGCCATGGCAACAAGAGGGTTTGCCTGAAGACCTGGGGCCGTCCAGTTCTCATCCATATCTACAACAGCATTCCAGCCCAGGTGGGCTGCATGATGAGCCTGCTCCACTTTAGGGGTGCACAACGCTATGTAATGCTTTTTTAGAGGGTGAGGAATCGAGTATACACAGAGGGAGGCTCCTTGACTTCCAGTGGGGGTTGACTTCCTCACGAGTCCATCGTGGTCCCACCTACCCTAACTCAAACGCACTGAGCATCATGGATGCACTGGACTGCAGTTTTCAGTGGTTGGCAAATTCAACGTGAAGCTGGAACCATCAGTATATATTCACGCTTCACACACACTTTTAAATTAATTTATTTATTTGAGACGGAGTCTGCCTGGTCTGCAGTGGCTTTAGAGTGGAAGGCTTCTGAGTGGACCTGCTCACTGCACCTCGCCTCCTGGGTTCAAGTTATCTCTGTTGCCTCAGCCTCCTGAGCAGCTGGGACTACAGGCGCCCACCATCACGCCTGCTAATTTTGTATTTTTAGCAGAGACAGGGTTTCACCGTGTTAGCCAGGATGGTCTTGATCTCTGATCTCGTGATCTGCCTCACCTCGGCCTCCCATGAGTGCTGGGATTACAGATGAGCCAATGCTACCTGACCTACACACATGTATACACGCTTCTTCATTATTGTAAAACATTGCATAGGTGCTATATTCACGCCTGTAATCCCAGCACTATGGGGTGCTTAGATGGGTGGATCACAAGATCAGCAGGTCCAGACAGCGTGGCCAAGATGGTAGAACCCTATTCAGCCTGAACATACAAAATTAGCTGAGTGTGGTGGTGCATGTACCTGTAATCCCAGCTTACCTGGTGCAGGGGCAGAGGCAGGACCATTTGAACCCAGGAGGCAGAGGTTGCAGTGAGCTGCTGAGGATCGATTACTGCACTACACCCCCATGACAGAGGACCCATCTCAAAAAATTTGCAGTTTAATATAGAATATACAAACGCATGTAAAATACAGAGAGAGAACAATGGTTACCACCTAAATGCCCATCAAGGATAGATTGAGAAAGAAATGGTAGATATACACCATGGAATACTATGTAATAATAAAAAGGAACAAGACTATATCCTTGCTGGGGCGGTGGATGGAGTCGAAACCATTATCCTCAGCAAACTCCTACAGAACAGAAAATCAAACACCGCATGTTCTCACTCATACAAGTGGATTTGAACAATGAGAACACATGGACACAGGGAGGGAACAACACACACTGGGCCTTTTGCGGGCACAGGGGGCATGAGAGCATCAGAAAAAAAAAGAGCTAATGCATGCAAGCACTATGACACACCTTTACCCCAGGTAACAAACGCACATCCTACGTGCCCCCCCACAACTTGAAATTAAAATTAAAATGAGAAAAAAATAATCATTGACTAGACTTATGGAAATGATTCTGGGGAGAAAGAAAGAAAGAACACTAGCCACCATGTTGGGGTAGGGAATGGGTTTTCCTTCCTGAGGGCCAAGGGAGTTTCTGGCTGGGGTGATGGTGCTGAGATGAGTTAGAACATTATGAATGCATTTGACGCATATAGAAAAGGATGAGTTCATGACCTTTAGGGACATGATGGGGTTGGAAACTATCTCAGCAAATGCAGAAGGAGGGCACCACAGACACCACAGTTGCTCACCATAAGTGGAGTTGAAATAATGAGAACATATGGACACAGGAGGGAAGATCACACACCGGTCATTGGAGGGTAGGGGGCTGAGAGAGCATTAGAGAATACCTAACGCATATGGCTTAAAACCTAGATGACACGCTGACAGGCAGCAAACCATAAGTACGTAACCTATGTAACAAACTCAGCACATTCTGCAAATGTAGATCCCAGACTTAAAGTAAAATAAATAATATAAAATAAATATTATGAATGTATTTAATGCTACTGAACTGTATGCTTAAAATGGTCAAAATGGCAAACACTATGTTACGCTTTCACGTTAATACCATAAACATATAAGAATTGATTTGCAATTTCTTCCTTAATAGAAATAAAACTAATCCAATTGCCAGAAATCAAAGATAAAAACAACCTGCCCTAATTACAATGTAATATGGGAGAGTGTAGAAGGAAAAAAATGCTGGCTCAAGCATGGCAGTATATGCCAGTATGGACACTTTGTCCTGCCTCTCACTGTGATACTGTGTCAGAAAAGAATCTGGCCAACCAACCAGTGCTGCAAACTTACACTGGGAGCCTCTCAATACTGTGCAATCCGGTGATGCATCGACACAACTTTACTGCAAGGCCGGGCACGGTGGATCACACCTGATCCCAGTATTCGGGAGGCCGAGGAAATCACGAGGTCAGAGTCAGACGCTCCACACACAGAATCTCCTTCTCACTAACATAATAAAATTAGCTGGGCACAGCATGCCTGTCATCCCCACACCGGAGACTGAGGCAGGAGAATTATTGAACTCCGAAGGCAGAGGACAGGTTATTTTGATGGTAAACGTCCGCACTCCAGCCTGGGTGACAGGGGAGTGAGACTCTGTCTCAAAATTACAAAATAAAACTATAACAACAAAAACTTGACTGCAAATAGACAAACCTGTGTTTCCAGGTGCTATCATCTATATGCACTACCACAAATGGCTATTTTGAGGGCTTCCAAAGACAAGTAAATTACCTAAAATTATACAGCTGATCAACCAAAGGTCAATGGTATTGTAATGCTTTGAAAAAATTGTGGCGTTTTTTGTTTTGTATTGTTTTGTTTTGTTTTTGAGATGAGCCTACTCCTGTTGCCCAGGCTGGAGTGCAATGTGGCAATCCCGGCTCACTGCAACTCCACTCTCCCCGGGTTCAAGTGATTCTCCCGCCTCAGCCTCCCAAGTAGCTGGAATTACAGGCGCATCTCACCACACCCGACTCACTTTTATTTAGTAGACGGTTTTCCATGCTGGTCAGGCTTATCCCACCTGCCAACCCCAGGTGATCCACCTACCCGGCCTCCCAAAGTGTTGGGATTATAGGCGTGGAAACTACCACGCCTGGCCGTTTCTTTTTTTTTTTTAGCAAGTACATCAGTTATATGTTGGATTTAGAATCACTCCTAATGATCTCATCTTAACTTGATTTCATCAGCAAAGATCTTACTTCTTTTTTTTTT